TTCAAATATTGAACCCTGAGGAAAAAAGATTATTTAAATATGCTCTTGATAATATTATACAATGACTACTGACTCCACTATCTTACAGTTGCTGTTTTCATTCAAAGTCAGAAACATAAAGTTCAGGTACACAAACAGCAGGACCACATGGTGTACTTTCCCTGGGACAGAACCAGGTGAGACTTCTAGGTGTGGGAGGGAATGTTGAATGCTTCTCAATATTAAAACACATTAAAAAATAAAAATACATTCTAGTGTGTAAGCCTTCTGTTTGTGATGCTACAGGCAGAGAATGTTTCAAAGTGAGAGAACTTCTAAACAGGCTACACTCATCTATAGATTCAAATGGTGCAGTTCCAGAAAAATTGAACCATATGATTCTTCTGATTACACAGTTTGGCTCTAAATCATGGATTGTGGCTTAAATCAGCAGGAAGAGAGCACAATAGATCCCTCTCATACCTTATGGCAACTCACATTTTGTAACATTTAATTATCACCATGATATGTAATAATCATGTAGACATATAAATCTTCTCTCCCCACCCCCACTATATAATAAGAGACAGATACATGAGCTAACTTGAGAAGACAAATAATTCTTTATGTTCTTTTCAGATTTTGGAAACTATGGCTTTACACTAAGGACAACTTCTATTGGCTAAGCATCCAAATGAGAAGTGGGAGTCCCCCCCCCCTTCGAAACTATATTTTAAATATTAAAACAAACTGGAAATTACTTGTTGAGCTAAAAGAAACATAATGAAGCCTATTCGCGAAGGCTTTCACAGCCGGGATCTAATGGTTGCTGAGGGTTTTTCGGGCTCTTTGGCCATCTTCTGAAGGTTGTTCTTCCTAACGTTTCGCCAGTCTCTGTGCTGTCCTCTGAAGTGCTGTCCTCTGAAGATGCCAGCCACAGAGACTGGCGAAACCTTAGGAAGAACAATCTTCAGAACATGGCCAAAGAGCCCGAAAAACCCACAACAACCATAATGAAGCCTGTTTCTGACACTAGAGGGTCTGGCCATATATGCTATCAGAAAGATATTCGTAACTGACTTCCTAAACAATGAGTACAAATATCATGTAAACCAATAACAACAAGAACTACATCACACAGAGAGACAATATCAGTTTTACAGTCATTAATTTGTTTGGCCTTCCAGCCACTTTACGAAGTAGGTGATTATTACTGCATCTCAGAGGTGTAGGATTATCATTTGTTATTTGGGAGAGCTCCACTCAAAAGATAATACTGCTACATTTTGAATCATCTTAAAAATGTCCTGATGTAACAACAGTGCAGTTGGAATGGAGTCTTTATATGACTAAACAGTTCCTGATACAAACAATCATGTCAGATTAGTTATTCTGAAAAATCAGTGTGATGACAGAATGTACTCTTCTAAAAACTGATGGAAGTGACAGATTAAAGTAAATGTTAAAAGGTAGCATGTCCAGCTTTCTTGTGTAGCAGCGGAGACTGCTGCATATCTCAGAGCCCTGACCTGGGACCACCTCTGCCTTCCAGAGCTCTGTTTTCCAATTTTTTACTATCAATGACACATCCAAATACAGTGGTGCCTCGCTAGACGATGATAATCTGCTCCGCAGAAATCACTGTTTAGCGAAATCATCGTCTAGCAAAAAGCATTTCCCCATTGGAATGCTTGAAACCTGTTTAATGCGTTCCAGCGGGGAAGAATCATCGTTATCTAGCAAAGATCGGCCATAGGAAAGCCACTTTGCGAACAGCCGATCAGCTGTTTAAATAGCTGTCTAGCGAAGCTTAGGTCCCGAAAACACCCGCTTTGCGAGCACAGAGGGAGCTGTCAAAATAGTTGTCTAGCGAAAATTGCTTTGCAAAGCAGGGACCAAACATGGTCCAGCGAAATTCCCCCATAGAAATCACTGTTTTGCGAATCACTATAGCGATCGCAAAAAGTCAATGTCTAGTGAAAAAATTGTCATGCGGGGTAACTGTCTAGCAAGGCACCACTGTAATTACTCCAATGAAGATTTTTAAAAAAATTAATGAAAGAAGGAGAAAGAAGGGAATGAAAAAGTAGCAGAATGTGAGACTCTGCACTGAAAAGGGGGTTGCTTAATATGTTAACTTAGGTCAACCTCTCTGTTCTACCATGTTTCCCCCTCCTTCTGTTCCTCATTTAGGTTAGTCCCCTGAAGAATTCTAAATAACCATTTAAAATGTGCTTGAATTTTCCTCCCAGTATCAAGCATCTGCTTCTATGTTGCTTCAACTATCAACATCCTGATATTCCGAGTTCAGCTACTACATTATTTGTAATGTTGCAAAATAGTTATCTTGACTACTAGGAATATGTATTTTTATGGAACAATATTATTTTTGTCTGAAATATGATCAGACTCTTAGCTCCCCAATTAAACTGTTACTAGGCTTTAAAAGCGTTGTAGTCAATTGGGTCCCTTTAACTTTTACATGAATATGATAGGCAGACCATTCCTCCATCTCTTATTGCCCTTCCTATCTGGTAAGAGTTGTCCTGGGTCTCTGGCTGAGGACTGCCCTTGCTCTGCTCCCTGTGATGCTTTCATCAGGAAATGGGAGTCTCACCTGAAATCTTCTACATAAAAACAATTGACATAGGTGTCCCAACCACTTTTCCTGCATAATCAATTATTTTAAATGTGAAGATATACAACTAGTAGTTGCCTTGAATTTTATCTAAGTGTGTATTAAGTTCTCAACTCCTGAAAGTAAACCAGCAAAGAGAACCTTAGTAAAAAGTGATGAGTTTCAAAGGTTTTTTTTTCAACGCCAGAAAAGCTTCTTGCCTGAAGACTAATGAAAGTTTATGTCAACACTCAATGCTAACCAAACCTAGCTTGCAAAATAATATAAATGTAGCCTGCTCTGGACATTTAGAGAGATTTGTCTCTGCTTCAAAGGCAGAGTTAGAGCATGGTCTCAGAGCTTTCTGTTTACAAATGGAGTTACAGTATATAGGTTTTTCTCCATTGCTCTGATAAAGGTTCTAGTAGAGTTCTAATGTTGTTGTTTAGTTGTTTAGTAATGTCCGATTCTTCGTGACCCCATGGACCAGAGCACGCCAGGCTCTCCCGACTTCCACTGCCTCCTGGAGTTGGGTCAAATTCTAATAAGAGTTCTAATAGAAAATGTCAATAATAAGAAGACATTCTTGTTTGCTTCTTAAAAATCTGGTTACTTGTAAAGTAATAGAGTGCTTGATTAGCACATGTGTTTGTGTGACAGCAAACCTCTGTGTATATGCATTGTAATATTGCATGACATGTTAGCTATACATAGTCTAGTTGAAGTAACATTTGCTCTTTAGCTTAAAGACCACCCAGCACATTTTGCACTGATTCTCAACAAGAGTGAGCCATCCTGTGACTACGTAGGGCTGAAACTTATTAATGGAGCAACCTAAATTAGGATTTTCTAGAATTCAGAACAGATTAGATTTCTGATAAATAAGTACAATGAAATGTTCCCTTTTCTAAAATTCACATGATACGTAAAAATGTTACATACAGTGGTGCCTCGCTTAACGATGTTAACTGGTTTAAAAAAAACATCGCTATGGGAAAACATCGCTAAGCGAAACACCATTTCCCATAGAGATGCATTGAAAACCGGTTAATCCGTTCCAATGGGAACGGATTAC